CCCGCCCCCCCCCCGTCCGCCCCCCTCCCCCAACGTCCGTGAGGGGTGGGCGTTCAGTGGGGCAGTCTCCTGTCTCAGTGCTTCTCTTTGTTTGAGCCTCTTAGGACAAAACAAGGTGCGCTGAAAGAATGTAGCGTTGGGATCTGACCTAGCTGGGCTGCAAGCTTGCAGCTCCATATTTGGAGCTAGGAAGAGTGCAGTGTGAGCCCTGCCATAGTCTCCATCCTCACCTAGGCCCGCAGGAGAGTCCTGTTATTGCCTGTTCTCAGGAAGTGCAGGAGGGAGATCTAATGATGCGAACTTATGTTTTGAAGTGGAATTTTAGGCCAGAGCTGGTTGCCAGAATCCTTCCCAGTTTCTAATTATTTCATGGGCTTGCTGGGCTTTCTCCTCGGTTTGCACGAACTGCTTGTTCTTTGGATGAGGCCTCCTGGAGGTATCTGTGCGTGCACACTTAAGCTCCCGGTGCACGTGGGAAGATCAGCTGATTAAGTGTGGGACTCAGTTTTCTCTTTGTACCACTTAGGACTCAGAGTAGAATTAAGATTGTGGGGCTGGTGGGAAATCGCCTTTACCTGCTAAGCTTTGTCAGCCCTATTGTAGTATTTCTAGCCTCCACTCTTGGGGGTATTCATCCTTGACAGGTTCTCGCTGGCCTGGGTATAGAATCCAAGCTTATTTACTACCCACTTGTAAAGGGACCCTAATATTTGCGAGAGAGAGTGTTTGGGGATTAGTAGATTTATTTGGTAAGCTGGCAAAACCAGAAGGTGGCCTGGTAAACTGTCTTAACCCAGCACAGGTTTTTTAGGGTCCGTTTATCTTCAGTCAGAGAGGGTCCAGGAGAGAGGTTTCTCTGATAGTTTGGAGTGGGCGTCATTAATCGGGTGGCCGGTGATCCATTCACCTGGCACGTAATCACAAGGCCATTGGATGCTTTTGTAGACAGTGAAAATATCTTATCTTGATCTCTTCAGACTTGAAGGGGGAGGGGAGAGGCTAGGAGATTTTGCTAAGCCATTAACCTTGTGCTCCTCAGTTCAGACAAACATTTCTTAAGTGCCCCGGCAAAGTAGAAATGTGGTTGAATACAACATGGAGGATGTGAGGCTGATTTTTGTTTGAAGCCATAAACACAGCAGCTGTCACCACAGGCGTTATCTGCAGCAAAATGGGAGGAGACTTCTAATATGTCATGCAGCTGCACAGCCTCCAAAATCAGTGATTTTTAAAGTCAAGTGAAAAGGGGAGCACAGGCAGCCATCTTGTATTGTGTCTCCCACCCACATGGCAGGCTGGAGGGTCTCTGGTGGGGAGGGGTCTAAAGTAAGCAAGGGAGGCTAGAGAATTTGCTTAGGTTTGCCCTTGGTTCCAGCAACAGTGTGTCTTACTGTATCTAGTGAGTGTTGGTGACCATGTCTTTGAAAGTTATGGACTTTGCATATTCCTAGTTCCAAAGTTATATTCTTTTATATTGCATCTTCAACTCTCTTCATGCCTCTGTATCATCTCTAAGTCTGTTGTTAACTGTACCAGATTGTATCAAAAGCTCTGTGGCCAATGTGCCCCCCTTTAGATGACAAGGTCTACCTGTTTAGGGGTGCTTTATCTAGTTCCATCTGTGTACTATCACCGGATGCTTTTGGGGCTAACCTTGTCATGTTAGCTTCAGTCCGTCCTTCTTTGTATTCTGCAAGACAGTTGTACCCTTTTATCAACTGCAGCCTAGTGGTAGATTTCCATTTTATAAGAAGGTAAGATTCAAACCTTCAAGCCTTTTTAATATTTCATTTCTCTGGGCCACCTCGAATGGATGGAAACATGAGGAGACTGGCTTGGGTAACTGTTATTGTTTATATGATAGCGTGCAGACTGATTAGGCAATTGATTAGAGAGATACAAAGGAAGGAGGAAAAATCAGGAGCTCTTAGGTACATATAGGAATATGATATATGGTAAATCGGTATCTCAGGTCTGTGGGGAAAATGGTGTTGGGACAGCTAGGGGGTCTTGTGGGTTAGACTGATGCTATTTTTGGTCATCACCCCTTAAAAAAAGTTAAATCCTGTTACTCCGCCACCCGCTTGAGTTCTGCCTGCCACGTGGATGGCCAAAATAATACATTAGGTACAAAATAATATATTTGGTATAAACACTGCTTGGCCAATGACTAGGATTTCTCATCTGCTAGCTCAGTCTTAATTATTATGAATCTATATATTTTATAAGACTTATTGTTGTGACCCGGCTTGTCTCAGCTTTAACCCACGACAGCCATGAGGGTCAGCCTGAGTCGGGGTGTGTGGACCTGGAAGCTCCCAGCAACCCAACGGCGATAAAGATCAAACACAGGCATCTTGTCATCTTCAGAGAGCTCTCAGTTCCATATTATAGAACTAGAGTCATTTCTTTATTAGCCATCTTTTCTGGTGTTTCTTAACCATCCTGCCAATACCACGGGAGAACCATTTCCCTCTTTGTTCCCTTTCTGCTCTGGCCCCTAACTCCTAACCTTCCATCCTCACAAGTTACTCACACACCTCTGATCTCCCTGCCCAGGTGCAGGCCTATTCAGATGCTTAGGTGCATAGATATGCAAATTAGGAGGCATATTACCCTGAGGCCATGGTAGACAATAGTAGCCTTGCTGGCATTAACAATACAATAGTGGGCCGGAGCTTTCTGGTGCTCCATGTTTAGTGCAACCCAAGGCTGGATCTCAGAAAATTCCATAGCAGAAATACTTTAGTCCCCCACATCTTATCGGATGCCTTCTGCTAGCGTCCTCATCCCTGGGATCACATGATGGCTCAGAGCAGAGAGCAGGAAGAAGAGTGAAGGGGAAAGGCACCAGCTCCTGCTTGTCCTTGCTTAAATATGAGTCTCTCTGCTATGTCACTTCCTGTCTGGATCACTACTACTTTACTACATTTCCCAGAATTCTCCTTGGCTCCTAATCCTGTCTAACTTGCTGCCTCATTGACCAAACTACTTTATTCAACAATCAATAAGATGAACATACACAGAAGTACATTCCCCATCAAAATCCCAAGCAGATGTGATAGTAACAGCCCCCACTTTTGGTGTATTACAACCCAGGTACCATGGGAAACTACATTAATACATTTCATTTTCACAATAATGTGGTGATTCATTAACCATCATTATCTTCATCATGGATGTGAAAACAGGCTAGGGAGTTTAAATAACTTATCCAAGGTCATACAGTGGGCTGGTATATGCACTATGCCCTAGAGTTTCTGATATAACCACTCTTTTCCCATGTATGTATGCATGCATGTGTGTATGCTGGTTTTGATATAATTTTAATGTTTATCTCAGGTTGGTCTTGAACTCACTGTATAATCCAAGTTTGCAGCAATCTTCCCATTGCATCTCCTGAGTGCTGGGATTACCAGTATAACATACTGTGTTTGCTCTCTTTAGTTAAGAGCAAACGGAGTGCTAGGATTACCAGTGTATAACACCTTGCTTGCTCTCTATAATTAAGAGCAAACTGAATGCTGAGATCACCAGTATATAATACCTTGCTTCCTCTCTTTAGTTAAAAGCAAAAAATGAAACAATGAGTATGAGAAAAGGAGAATTTATTTATAATTGTGTGAGGAAGGCCTTTGCACTCACAGGTAGAAAAATCAAGAAACTGATAATCAGATCACATTAAAAGTCTGTGTGGGGCCAGAGAGATGGCTTGGTAGTTAAGAGCACTTGTTGCTCTTCCAGAGGACCTGGACTCAGTTCCCAGCACCCACATGGTGACTCACAATAATTTGTAACTACAGTACCAAGGGGCTCAACATCCTCTTCTGGCCCCTGGACGCACACTGCATGCATACAGTGCACAGACTTACAAGCAGACAAAATATCCATACACATTAAATAATTTTTTTTAAAAAGACTTTTGTGTGACAAAAATCACAGAAGCAAAGTCAGAAGACAGCCTAGGGTACAACAACATGTACCAAAAGGCAAGGACTAGTTTCCCCAATAGGGCAGAAGCTTCTAGAAATAAGTAAGAATAATGTTAGCAATGATTACAAATCAAGCAGAGGTTTTGAACAATTTACCCCCAACGAAGTACAGTTGGTTCTTAAACACATAAAAAGACACTCAAGTTCACTCAGTGAGGAAAATGCAAATACAAGATTTTTTTTCCAGATTGGCAAACATCCAGAAACAATGATCCATTCTGTCAGTTGGGAGAGAGAGGGGAATGAGAGAGAGAGAGAGAGAGAGAGAGAGAGAGAGAGAGAGAGGCACTCTTGTGTGTTGTTAGAGGATGTCAGCTGGTTCCACTCTTATAGAAGACAACTTGGCTGCATCTACCAAAAATTTAAATGCACATTTACCTTCGGTCTCAGGAATTCAATTTCTGGGAATTTGCCTTCCAGATTTGCTCACACACATGCCAAATGAGGACTGCACCAGGCTGTTCACTGGAGCTTCATCTGCAGTAGACAGAGATTGGAAGCATCACAGGTGCCCATCAACAGGGGCTAGTTAAACCAGTGATGGTTCAGCCTCAAGGATACAGCACGGAGGCATAAAAGATAGGGCATCTCTAGGAACAGAGAAATTGCCAAGATACAGTAGCTGCAAAGGCCATGTCAGAGCCTCATTCTGACTTTTGTGTGGACGGGGAGCAAGCTAACAGTCCATATGCCTGAGGAAGCTTGGAAAGGATAGCTAAGAAAGGAAAGGCTGGGTTTGGGCTGTGCCATGAAATGAGGGTGGGTGGGCTATTTAGGGTTTATACTTTGTGTTGTTTTAAACAACTTGCTTTGTCTAATGTGGCTTTGTTGTTGAATTAAACAGCTACTTTGAAGATAGTACGGTTGTTTTTAGCCCAACCAGCCACCGTTCTGTCATCCTTTGTCATACTTCAACTTAAAAAAAAATTGCTCTCTTTTTCTTGTCAAATATAT